AAAAAAGAAAAAAAGAAGATAAAAGACATTTTTCCCGGTAACAGCAACAAAGCGGCTGGCTGCCATTTTGGATTATCGCTGGAGGTGATTGTCGTGTGATAGTGTGAGTTTCTCGACCAATCAGCGCGCAAGATTTTCAATAATCMCCTGTGTATTTTTACTAATATATTTTATTGACTTGAAGAAGACGTACCACAACAACATTCACCAATTTGTAAGCAATATTTAGTGGGAAACCAATTCATGCAAAACATGGAAAAACTGGGAAGATTTGTTTTTAAATTATGAGTTATAAAACTTTATATCATGTTGATACAATCAATTTTTACAGTTTACACGGTTACATACCATAAATATTTAGATAATATTAATAAATTTTAAAATTTATTTACTCATAGTTAATATTAATTTATAAATGGTGTCGTATTTAGTAGGTTTTTAGAGAAATTTACGCTTATTTTGCAAAAGAAAATTTATTTTTGTAACGCATATTAATAATCATTTGTGTTTATTAATTACCTTTAGGTGTCTCTCTTCATCGGAGTTAACATCACTATCATAGATAGTAGTTTCTGTTTGGTATATATAGCTGTTTATAATTTCCTATTAGGAATAAATTATCAATTATCTCATACAGGTTAAACTGGTTTTAGTTTTGTTGTAATATAGCATGGGTAAACTGGAATAACTGGTTACTTGAAGGATTGAAGAGTAGGAGAGAAACGAGGAGAAAAAGAACAGCTGGAAAGGAGGAAGAGGGAGCAAAAGGAGGAGAAGGAGAAGGAGAAGGAGAAAAACAACATCATGAGACTTAAAGTACAAAAGAACTAGGAGAGAAAAAACAAAACAAAACAAAACAAAACAAACAAAAAACAACCAAAAAACAAAGAAAAGAAAAGAAAAAGAAAAAAGTGTAAAAAAAAGAAAAAGAATAAGTAAAGCACGAGAACACGACAAAGAAGAGAAAGAACGCATCAACAACTTCCTTGCAGCTAATAAAAGCYGATACGTTTAAAAGTTTTAGTCTTTATGCTTTTAAAGATCTCGTTTTTATACTTTGTTTAAGAGACAAATAAATGTTTCAATTTATTTATCTATATTAATATCCCTTTCACTGGATAAACGACGCTTTAACTACAGAACCAGCTGAGATGTAGCCAGGGAAAATCCCTAATTATTAAAGTAATACTCAGTAATGCTTATGTCACATAAAGTATCGCCATATTATCATAAAAACAAACCTGAGGTAGAGTCGCCTCTGTAGGCGTCTTCTCTGGCTCTACTTTTTCTTCCTTCTCTTCGAACGCTTGCTTCGGTTTCCCCCCAACAAGTGATGATTGGACGAGAGGAGGAAGGGCAGAAAAGCGCACGGGGATCTTCTCTCTTGGTTCTTCTTTGGTCAGTAGATTTTGACCTAAACGTGGTGCGTTTTCTATCACTCCTGCCAGAGGTTTCATCTAAGAGGAAAACAAAATGGTAATCAAAAGACACCTTTGATATTATTCCCAAGCTCAAGAGCGACAAAACAGTGACATGGCGGCCATGTCGGTTATATCAGTGGAAGCTAACGAGAGAACATTTTGTTTAATGGCACCAACATAGAGGCGAAAGATAAAATACTTTTTCGGATAAAAACTTTTTGGAATATAAGAGAGTTCGACTTGGAGCAAGTCTTTGGGGCGTTAAACGGTAACGTGCAGACGAATAAGTCTTAATCTAAGGGGTCAAAACAAAAGACTTTTCTTTTTAGTGTGTTTACTAAATTATTAATTTTTTATATTAAGTGCCGCCCCCGAAAAAGCGCCGCTTTTATTCATACGAAAAAAAACATTGGTATGTCGTATTTTTTTTAAAGTTTGTATTCACTTTGTATTAAATCACTGGTTACACATTATTTATATGGTAAGACCTTTACAAATAAGCACGCCACCCGAATTAACGCCACATATGAAACTCTATGTGGGAGTCAGGGAACGAAGAACAAAAACGGACACGATGGGGGAGGGGAGGAGATAAGAAAAGAAAGAGTTCGCTTTTTTGTCCTCCGTCCCCTACGTAGTTCCATGTCAAAGGAAGCCCGCGCAACCAAAAGAAGCCCAAAGAGTTGCCTACTGCGAGCCGGAGGAGGCTAATGCTCATGAGATCCAAAACCTAAACGAGTAAATCTATACGGTAAAAGAAAATTAAGAACTGGAGTAGCATTACCTCTATATCATTTTCTGTCGATCTCTTGGCGTGTTTTCCTTTCTTCTTGCTTTTAGTGCTCTTGTGTTTACTCTCCTCTCTTCTCAAGTGTCGTTCTTTGGGTTGAACGATTTCAACAGCTGGTTCAACGTGGGGTACGACGGGTAAAGGTCGGTGGGGGTGACGCTCTTCATCACTTGTGCTGGAACTGAAATGACGATCATGTAAGTTTGTCATAACGTAGATTAATTCCGTTTTAGATATTCTGCAAACTCGGTAGTCGCGAGCTACGGAATAAAAGTTTGTTTTTCGCTGCCGTCAATCAAAAAAACAAAAAAACAAAAAAACAAAAAAAAAAAACGTCGGTACCTTTTATATTCGTAACTGGGGCCAGTAACAAACAATTTCAAAACAAGCTGTTTAAATGACGAAGTTTGAAGAAACTATCGCAGTAATCTGTTACTTTAATCTATATACAGGACTTTTTTAAGAAGTGAATTAGTGAACGAAAAAACGAAAAATGAAAGAATGGTGATGAATTAGAGATGAGTGAGTGAGTGAGTGAAAGAGTGAGTGAGTGAGTGAGTGAGGGACTGAATGAGTGAGTGAGTGAGTGAACACGATGAAAGCATTCTTTCTCACCTTCGTCGTCCATTTGGTGATGGTTTGTAAAAGTCCTTGGGTTTTGAGGGAGGTCCGCGGTAGTATGGTGACGAGCGAGGTTCTACCATTTCCTTTGCTGGTGCTTCGGTCTATTTCAATCAAAAAATGAAAGTTGTCTATAGGTACACAAACCCGGTAGGCTAGTCCAGAACTCGACCCAATTTTTTTCACCAATTAATTTATTTTTCTTWATTCCGCTACTCAGCTCGTATTTGCCGCGCGCGCATCCTCAAAAGTKGGTCAGCTTTGGACTATACAATTCTATATGTAATATTTCAAAGCCGACAATGAGGACTGGACGGGATTTCAAGTCCAAGCAATTAGTTCTAATTGCGCGGACTTGAAACCCTGTCCAGT